TGATGGACAAAAAAGTAACTGCTGTGAAATGTAAATGCTGTTTAAAGTTACTAGCCCTACTGCCCCGGATGCCCAGGACTGGGTGCTCAAGGCACCGGGGAAGTGCTGATGTTTAAACTAGTAGCACAGGAGCTTTGAACTGCCAGAAGGAGGAAGTGTTCAGGCTTGGGGTGAGGAAGAATGTGGAGGAGAGAGGCACTGGTGTCATGACAGAACCGGTGCTGGATAAGTGGGCAATGTTACTGGGTTCAGCAGCTTCTATGCATATAGCTAATGGCAGAGGTGAAGAATCCTAGGACATTGACGGAAGAAGCTAAGAAAAAAAATGGAGAGAGAAGCCTGTAGAGTCGAATAAATCTGGGACTGGCTTTTAGTTATTGGTAAGAGCTTGGTGAAATAAAAGGCTACGGACAGACAGCAAGCTGGCCTTCCTGCTGTTTGACTAGTCAGTCATATTAGCTGGCTTGACATAGCAAGCCAGCTATGTCTTGTGTTGTTGCACTTGATGTTAGGCTGTGTTAGCAAAGTTGTGGACTCGCTAGTTAATCAAAACAAATGCATGACAAAGTCACCAAACCGAATCCTGTTAGAAACTTACACACTATATGTGTATACAAAAACAATCTTACTGATGAGATACCACTAGAGGTAATTGTGAGAATATGTTCACTGACAGTATTTGTATTTTGTGTCTAGCAACAAGCATGGTTTTTCCCGTTTGTATCTAGATGTCTGGTAGTGAATATGACTATATGCGTCTTACCATTTCCTCCAATGTAACTCAACCTTAAATGAATACGATATACTGTATTTGGTATATTTAGAGTGTGCATGTGTGTGTTTGTTTACTGAGCATATAGCTTATCATCATCAACTTCTGTGCTCATCAGAGCCTGGCATTGCCTGTGCATATAAGCTATATTGGTGGTGAAATTGCCTTTCAAAATGGTTCTGTTATCATCCAGGTTTATTATGAAAAGTGGATTTCATAATGGTCAGTGCATGCCCAGCCTCTCACTGCACACAACTGACTATTACTCACTGTCACTGCATCCAAAGGAAATAAACAAACAGCTCATTAATTTATTAGTGAAAATACAACATACCAGATATTATGGAATAGCTCTGTGTGAAGCTGGAAACGCAAATAAAGAATTATGAACTAGCTAATTTAATCTGCCCTTTTTTAAAATTTGAAATAATTTCAAATTAAATATAAATGCAACATAAAATACATGATTTTTTCTTAAGATACTTATTAACCTGCCTCCCTCCCCTTTTCTGTACAATGTGTATCTTATTTTTTATAGAAAAATTACAAAAAACAGATTATTTTAAAGGTCAGGGGATTGTTGCAACACAGACCTTTTCACTTGTAACATAATATGAGTTGCCATTAGCTTCATAGCAGTCCTATTAGCTGACTTTACTCAGACTAGAAGCTTGAAGGACAGGAGGAGGTTTGTTTACACTGCTAGCAAAGGAGGATGAGCACCAGAACTAGAGCCAAGGCGAGTACGCAACAGAACCACATTCACAGCCTCAGTGACTGACAGAGACCAGGTAATGTACAGTGGCTCCGACCAGGACTCTGACTCCGGGGAGGACGAAGACACCAGGTTCAGGCAGGGACTGAAGAGGCATAAAACAGGAGAGGCGTATTTAATTTGTTGCTGCTGTTAACGTTATTAATCATCCATAGTATCAGTGTTAGTTACTCAAGTTATTTAATTTGTGGTTTGAACAATGAGACTTGTATGGTGTTATGCTGTGTTAAATTGATGAATTAAATGTTCAGTCTCATTGCTGGTTGTTCTGACACATATGTATCGTTGAATTATTGGACATTGCTCACGCAGTGAAACGCAGGAGAGGTAAACGTGCTGGCACACCAAATATTCCTCTCTAACGTGCGTTCACTGTGCAACAAAATAGACAAACTTCAGCTACTTCTGGGGAAAAACAGAGACTTTTCTTCATCCTCTGTTTTATGCTTCACAGAGACGTGGCTGTGTGGATCGATACCGGACTCTGCGCTGCAGCTGGCAGGCTTCCAACTCTTCAGAGCGGATCGTGACACAGAACTCGTCCGACAAAACAAAGGGTGGAGGAATCTGTTTTTAAACCAACAGTAGCTGGTGTAACGATGTGACAGTGATCCAACAGCACTGCTCTTCTAATCTGGAATATTTCATCATAAACTGTAAACCTTTTTACTCCCCCCGTGAGTTTGTTTCATTCATTCTGGTCGGTGTTTACATTCCACCGCAGGCCAACGTGCAGGAGGCACAGCGCACGCTCGCCGACCAGATACTGTGTGTGGAGCGGACTAACCCGGACTCTTTAGTTATTGTCCTTGGTGACTTTAACAAAGGAAACCTCAGCCACGAACTCCCCAAATACAGACAGTTTATTAAATGCCCGACCAGAGAGGAGAACACACTGGATCACTGTTACACTACAGTCAGCAGAATATCACACTGGGCCTCTCTGACCACATCATGGTCTACCTGATTCCTACATACAGGCAGAAACTAAAGCTCTGTAAACCTGTTGGAGGACATCAAAACAGTGGACCAAGTGAAGCTGCGGAGGATCTTCAGGCGTGTTTGGACTCTACTGACTGGGATGTTTTCAGGACTGCTACCAACAGTCTGGACGAGTACACAGAGGCTGTGACGTCATACAGACATCAGCTTCTGGAAGAGACTGCTGTGTACCAGGGTGAAGTAAAATAAAAAACAATAAAAACCCTGGTTCACACGCCAAACATTCATTCAGCTACACGGTGCAGAAGGAGCAAGCGTTCAGGAGTGGGACAGGGGACCAAAGTTTAAGGGAGTCGAAAAAGTACAGTGTTTAGCAAGCGGTAGCGAGAAGCTAAACGACAGTACTCTGAGAAACTCAAACATCAGTTCTCAGCCAACGACTCTGGTTCTGTCTGGAAGGGGCTCAGACAGATAACCAACTATAAACCTAAACCCCCCCACACCATCAACGACTTGCGCCTAGCAAACGATGGAACAGTCCTGACACCATCCCCCGTGACACCCCTCACCAGTTCCCCCTCCCCCAGCTCAGCAGGAGCCTGAGCCACTTCACAACTCCACACCTCTGTGAATCCCTCCTCCTCCACCACAGTGACGACTCTCTGCCTCCAAGAGAGGGACGTCAACAGACTCTTTAAGAGGCAGAACCCCCGCAAAGCAGCCGGACCAGATTCTGTCTCTCCATCCACCCTGAAGCACTGTGCTGACCAGCTTTCTCCGGTGTTCACTGACTTTCAACACCTCACTGGAGACATGTCATGTGCCAGCCTGCTTCAAAGCCTCCACCATCATCCCTGTCCCCAAAAAACCAAGGACCACAGGACTCAATGACTACAGACCTGTCGCCCTCACCTCTGTGGTCATGAAGTCTTTGAAATGAGGAGGAGTGAGTCCTTGTGCTTTCCCACCTGAAAGCCATAACGGACCCACTCCTGGACCCCCTGCAGTTCGCCTACAGAGCCAACAGGTCTGGAACAAGCCAAATGGACTGTACTTATATAGTGCCTTTTTAGTCTTACGACCACTCAATGCGCTGTACACTACATGCCACACTCACCTTATTCACAATCATTCATACACTGATGGCAGTCCCACCCGCCCCCATCATCCTGTGTGACTCCATAGATGACTCTGTGGAGTCCCTCCGCTTCCTGGGTACCATCATTACCCACATGAACATCAGCTCCCTCACCAAGAAGCCCAGCAGAGGATGTACTTCCTGAGGCAGCTGAGGAAGTCAACCTGCCAAAGACGATGATGGTGTACTTCTACACCGCCATCCTCACCTCTTCCATCACCATCTGGTTAGCTGCTGCCACTGCCAAGCGTTTTATATTTTTATATAAAAATCCAATCATTGTCTTCTTGTAAAACAAAATGTGACGCCTGTTTACATAAGCACGAACTAACCGATGTCAACTAATAATATCATGAAATTCACCTGTCAATCAATCCTTAACTCTCAGCATAACAGAGTGAAGATTCATTAGTTAGCTATCTAGCAACAGCAACTACAACTGTTGGAGCGCTGGGGTGTTTCTGGGGGTTGGGCCTCACTGACTACTGTACGAAACCACAAGTTAATCACTTTTACAAAAGCACAACTTTTGTTTATGACCACCTGGGCAACCTGGTCATAATGTTATGCAGCCCCATACACAACAAACTTTGATGCACCGTGTTCTGAAACCTTTCTATTAGAACCAGCATTAACATTTCAGCAATTTGATCTATAGTAGCTTGTCTGTTGGATCTGACCACACAAGCCAGCCTTCCTTGGACCACTTTTGATAGGTACTGACAACTGCGGACTGGGAACACCCCACAAGAGCTGCAGTTTTGGAGATGCTCTGACCCAGTCTTCTAGTCATCACAATTTGGCCCTTGTCAAAGTCGTTCACTTGCTGCCTAATATATCCCACCCACTGACAGGTGCCATGAAAGATAATCACTGTTATTTACTTCACTAGCCAGTGGTCATAATGTGATGGCTTATTCGTGTATGTGTGAAGCATTAAGAGACTAAAACTTTATTTTTATTGTAAAACATTGTGTTTTATAATGACAAACTAGAACATAAGTCTAGCTTAGATGACTTGAGCTTGCTGTTGTAGTGAATATCATTAGTGCTGTGATTCGGTCATAGATAATTGCTTAAGTGTATTTTATCAACTGAAAAACATTTGATCTGAATCTTGCAATCAATGATCTGATGTATCTGGGTCCATTTTAAAGCAGCCAGTGGATCAGTGTGAGTTGTGATAAGGTCCTATGTGAAACAATATATTGCATTTCAATACACTTGGACCAAATGGTTGAAATGAATGTGATTTCAGAGCACACACAATCTTACTTTGAGCTGGTCGTAGTAGCAGTCATACAGGTCCTCTATGTCTATGTCCAAGAAGCGGATCTGGACATAGCTGTCTCCCTCCACAGTTATTGTCCAGCGGTAGTGGGCATTATTGGGGTATGTTCTGGGATAAAGTGGGGATGCTATCTGACCAAACTCCCCCACCACATCATTACCATACACTGAGAAACAGTAAGAAAGTCAAAATTAGAGTTCTCAATCTCTCTCAATTTGAGTTCTTTTCAGACTTAATTCAAACCAAGGAATAAACACAGTTTTACAATGTATTGTAAAGATAATTACCATAAAACTTAAATTAAAAGCAGGGTCCGAGTCGAAAAGTATTTTTTTGCTTTGGAGGGTTCAGCATATTTCATTGGCAGCCATGATAAAAGTTCTTTGAATTCTCTCAATGCTGAGCAAAGGACTTTACGTAGTAAAGTGCAGTTGGATTCTCTCAGCCCAGCGGTTGTCTTTTCAGAAGTCCTTATGACTTCTCCATCATATCTTTTCTTGACGTCAAGACATTTTCCATCAAGATCAAGGAAAAGTGTTTAAAAAAAGACATAGGACACCTACTTTTTTGTAAGATCAGTGAGATTCTCCAAAATTCAGTCATTCAGTTCATTTTACAGAAACCATGGCCACCAAAGTACCAAATGAATGATTCGTAATTAAAAATAATAATTTATATTAGCCAAATAGCCAAATTTTTATACAAGCAATATTCATACTGGCTTAAATAAACAACATGATAGTATTTCCCATCTTTTGTGCAAAAGGAATTAAAGGCCTTTCCCATATTGATGCCTGTTCAAAATAAAGGCAGACTGAATTCAGTGATTGGAGCAAAGAAAAGCCCGGGCTATTAATTTAAGTTTTACGGTACATCAGTAAGATACTTAAGTACAAAACTATTAGCTTCAAAATATAATCATAGTACCAAATGTAAAAGTATTATTATCCAGAATAGATAATTTACCTAAATAGCAATAATGGTGTTATTAATAAAAACAAGACTGGTGAATTGTCTTCACACGGAGACACTCACAATGTGAGAAGGTGGCTCTGAATCCTGCTCCGCTAATTGAGGCATCAGAGACAAACTTAACCCACAGGATGTGACCAATCACAGAGGTGTAGTTGGAGGGTAGCAAGTTTCCACAGAAACGATCAACCAGAGGCCCAGTGGAGTTGCCCTCTCTGATTTCCAGGTAGTCATTTTGACAGCCAGAATCTCCCTGCAGGTGAAACATACTAAACAAAACACAAGAAAATGTTATTTTACTGTTCTTCAATAATTAATTATTCTCTAAATAGCAGAGACTAATTATACAGAAAAGTGTAAAACATTTAAATTAAAGGTAAGTGATCAAGCAGGCAATGGCACCAGTCATCTTGCTGGAAATCTTCACTATCCAGCTTAGTTGGTTTTTACTGTTTCTGTTGAGGTTTAAAAGGCCATATCAGCATTAAAAAAAATCAAGACTGGTTTTTAAAATAACCTTAAGATTACACCATCAATGTCCTACAAATTAGTTATGTAATAAAAGAGCAATAGCAAATTGCAGCCAATACCACTATTGTTAGAGTCTGGAGAAAATGTGGCGGATATTTCTTTTGATTTTTGTTCTTTGGCCAAAATATACTGTAATTAGTTTTTAATTGTACTGAGTGACAGATAAATGCAGACAAAAAAGATCTCTCTGTCAGAAATAGGAGAGTCAAGAATGAACCTTCACACTTGAATTGACTAACATAAATGAAAGCTGGAGACGGTTCCCTGGTGAGCTTCTGATGGTCCACACACATTCCACATTAGGCGGATAAGCATCTGGATAGTTAGGACTGTTAAATGCACCATTCTCCATCACCAGCTCTCCTCCACAACCTATGCAGAAGAGGTGAGAATTTGTTCTTGATTAGTTATTAGAGATCCTGTGAGTATGTGCGTGTGTGCACATGAGAATGATTTTGAATGTGCAGTGACCAGTTCTAAGTGTGTCCAGCTAGAACTGTGAGCAGTGCATCTTGGTATATCTTACTGGAGGTGGATGCTGAGTAGGTGGCTCTGAACCCTTTTCTGGAGACGGATTGGTCAGAGATGAAGCTGACAACCATAGAGTTACTGAATGATGTCACTGGGTGAGGTACTTCAAAGCCACAGTAGCGCCCTAACAAAATGTTACATTATATTTGAAATAGAATTTATGGCCAAACATGATTTCACTAATTGAACAAGGTGGTGACTTGTTACATTCAACCAAATTCAGCTCGGTAATGTCATCACATACTCTATTTGTAGCTTACCTGATCATTGTTAACATAATATGCCCAGGCAAAAATAATCTTACAAAGCAGACAGTGCAGGCATACAAACCCAGCCTTCTCTCTCTCCCTTTCTCTCCATATTCTGGCACCTCAATCACACCACAGCACCACCACACACCACACACACACCAACACGACAACCACACACACAGCACACACCACGAGACAAGTTTATTTAAAAAATCTCGAACCACCTATAGAAGGTGCCTGGGAGTTGTCGCCATCCAGAATCTCCACAGCATCATGGGAGCAGTTGGAGTAGATCATCTCTAATTCAAAGTCAGTGAATGACAAGGTCACGTGGTTGACTGGCCAGAGAGATAAGTCAAAGGTTAAAAGACATGTGTATAACACCATGTATACTACAATAAGGTTTACTAGTCTGAGGGCTGACTAGCGCAACTCACATGGTTCCTGTGCTCTGATGATCCAACTACAGTTCTGATTGGGTGGGTATGGTGCTGGATACCGTGGTGATGCAATGGCCCCACCATTGTCATCTGTTATGATGGTTGCACCACAAGCTGTTAAAATTAAACAAACAAAATTACATGGTCATCATCTTTGACTTTTTGCTTCAGTGCCTTTTGCCCAGGAAACCATGCTGGTGGGTCACTAGCTACTGCAATCTGGGGCTTTTGATGCTCCCGCTGTGCCCTCTTGCCACTACAGCTGCGTGTTGGTGGCGGTGGGCGATTGGGATGGAGGTATACCACTGCTTGCTCTACTACCAGGGGGGCTGCCACCCCGGAACCTAACTGTAATACTGCAATATCCAGACCAGAGTAGTACAGGCTTTTGAGGGAGCTGACACTTGCAAACAATGCTCCAGAATCCTCACCGGCATGGCAAAACAGTGCATATAGGTCTTGGAGTCCGCAAGTGATGCCAGGGCATGCTTAACTTGCATACAGGCAAGGGGATAGGGGTCCCTCCTTGAGATGGTAAACCCACATGCGACTGGGCAAGGACAGCACTTGCTGTCACCAGTGTTCCCCCTGGTGACAGGGGGTATGGTGGCTGTCATAGCTAGCTTAAAATCTTGACAGCTAGCAGCAACTGGCAGGAGAAGAAAGCGAGAATTCTGTGTAGGGCACCAAAGGCATTTATAAAAGGGGATGGGCAGGCCTGTGCAACTCAGAACTGGTGGTATTGCAGCTTCAATGATTCGCCATAAGGCGCTGTCCATAGTAAGATACCAAGTGATGTTTTTAAAGAGAACACAAACCACAACATCCCAACAACACCCTCTACTTGTTTGGTTTTTCTGATTGACTTCCTTCAGTATAAGTTTTTAACAAATTTCTTCCAGCCCAGCTGTACAATATCTAGTGTCTGCAACAGGATGCTGTGGTTTTTTTTTAACATGGAATAATCTTAAAATCAGTACACCTTGTCTGAGATCAGGTAAAAAAAGTGTTGTGTTGTGAACAACTAATGTTTTGAAGTCTGCATTTGGCATTGCATAAAAGAAAAATGGATTTGATATATGATCACCCATGTTATAGTGATTAAAACAGAGAGATTCAAGGAAACCCACCCTCCGAGAAGAAAGCACTGAAGCCACGGTGGCTGCGACTGGAATCGGACCTAAAGCGAACATACATGGTGTTCTGGGTGGAAGTGATGGAGGCAGGAAGACTGTTGCCACACACATGTGCCAACACAGGAGAAGATATGGTTGGACCATCATGGATCTATAGAGAAAGACGGACATATGGTTTCAGAAAAGATCTGTAGGTTTAAATGTTAAGTACAGGCATTGCAGCTTGTGTGCTTGTATGGTCAGTGGTTAATGGACTGCAATCATAATTTTTGTTTTTGTAAAATATGTAAGAGAAGAGTATCATGGATGTGTTTTCACTTGTCTAAATTTCAAATTGTTGATGTCACAGGGTGTTTCTAAGCTCCTAAAGCTGCTCCTTTAAAATAACATACCAGCCACCTGTGCGTAATGGTGAATGCGTACTCTAGACACAGCCAGGACAAATTGTTATCAATCCTCACTCAGAATATGTGGCCCTGTGACCACACTCACCCCCAACTCCCCTGTCCCGAATTTCACCCATTCTCATCTAGTCACCCTATGAGATGTATACACTTCGAAATAGCATAAAGCAAAAAGAAAACAATAATTGCTGCTATTAATTCCCATGTACTTTTATCTGGAAGCTTTGACAAACATACATTGACAGACATTTTGATTGGTTCTGTACATAGAACTTTTCTACTTTAATGGACAAATCTCAGGACACTTTTCCTCTCATCCACACATTCACACATTGAAGGCAGTGGAACTACCATGCAAGGTGCTAGCCAAAAAACACTAAGTCTGGTTCCCCAGTATTTAACCTTTTTAAGTGATTAAAAGTGTAACTAAATCACATGTAACCACTTGCATTTATAAACCCATAAAAAAGGGCTAGGGAGCTATAATACAGTAGGTCAGGTACAAAGAAATGCTTTGGTACAATGCTCTTAAACTACAAATTAAATGTTCATAAATCAGTCACTTACAGCCACATAGTCCCAGGAGCAGTTGGTGTGAAATTCAATATCCAGGTCAGAGAAGTTGAAGAAAACACGGTGGTTGGGATCCACACTGATGACCCAGGAACAATCCACATCGTTGGGATAACTACTGGGATACAAAGGAGAGTGGGATCTCCCCTAGAAGGAAGGCTGTTACAGGGCACTCCACAGCCCCTCTAGATTAGGAGAAGACAATTGATTCATTATATATACTATAATATATTATATATATATAATTATTATCTGGATATTATTATGTTTGGCTAAGAGTGTTTTGGGTGTAAAACTGTATAGCTCTAATGTATCTATCTATAGTATGTTAATAGATACGAATACATTGGTGCGACCCAGACTGCAAAGGCGCTGGCCTCTGCGCCTATACTGCCAATTGGTCCAAGAGTATGTTGACAGGCCAGGATAACCTACTTTCTAACATCATGAAGAATTGAGTTGTGCTGTCTTGTTCTCGATGACATTTTCATCAGGAAGAGCTTATGTCTTATTTTTCGATAAATCACTGTTTATTCATTTTCATTGGCATTCAATGAGTGGAGGATTTTAATATAACCAAGCTATAATAAAATATAAAGCAACAATCACCATTATTTCACTTGAGCTATTATTAACGGCGACTAGCGCACACTATAAGTGTTTCTTGCCACAAAGGTAATAACTGGGGCCGCCCGGTTAGCATCAATCGTTGAGCTGCCCCGACCCGTGTAAATATACTGAGTTGCTGCAGTCGAATCCGACCAGCGGCCCCTTTGCTGCGTGTCATCCCCCCTTTTCTCTCACCCACTTCCTGTCTCTCTAACAGCTGCTGAAATAAAGAAGCCGAACATGGTTACCAAAAAAACAAATTCTAATGTGACAATTTAGCACTTTAACTCCCTGCATAAATGAAGTAAAAGTCCTTCCCCCTAGAGGATTTTATCTTTATTGAGTTACTTACCTTGTCTTGTGTTAATATGAAAATGAAATGATGATACTCTACAGTCCCTAAATATGTGTATAATATGATATTGTTGCGCCAAGAGATGTTATGGCCAGGCAAGCACTTAATAAAGTCCACCCACCCTTGGACTTCAGCGCAGCTTGCATTAAAACCTCCCGACCACTGACATAGGGCATCAGACTTGAAGCGCACTGTGAGGCCAGGTTGCCAGTGGCTAGAGCACGCATTGGGCTGTGGTGGTGCTGCAAAGCCTGGGCCGCCGAGGGGCCAACAGATCTGGGCCTCCATACACCTAAGTCAAAAGTTAATGGTCCAATACATGTGTAAATACAAAACCAATTACGTACCTGTATTTACATACAAAAGTTAAAGAATAGAAAAGGCCTCCAAGAAAGTAGCTGTGTCCTGCTCAGTGTGCCGGTTAACATACATTGCCAACCAGCCGCCTTAGTTTTCATACCCTTGAAGTCTATTACTTTTTACTTTACTTCCATTTGGCAAATTTGCACCTATTTACTGTTTTGCACTGTTTACGTGGGCTACTGTGTTATAAGTTAATTTATTCAAATTTTTAATCCAGTTTCAGTGTTAGGTAATGTAGTTTAATGTATGTATGATTTTGCCTATCTACTGATTTTTGAATTCCCTCCCGGGATAAATAAAGTATCTATCTATCTACTCTATCTATCATCTATCTATCTATCTATCTATCTATCTATCTATCTATCCTAGTCTATCCTACTCTACTATCCTATCCTATCTTCTATCTATCTATCTATCAAACATACCTGTTTGCAGCTTCATGAGAAGGCCAGAGCTCAACTTGCTATCGATTTGTGTGAGTAAATTAAATAATTCAACATGTAATATGTAACATTTCCACATTTAACCATTCAATTTATTAATACATGGTGTCTCAGATGTTCCCAGCACTGTATTTGGGTTAAAAAGAAATCTTTAGAATCTTAAGAAAATGACACAATGGAAGCTTCTTATTATGTGTTATTTTAGACATGCTTCTCTGATTAAAATTTAACCGAAGAAAAGCATTAAGATGATACGTAAGTGAGACTTGAAGTAGACTTTCACTGTACAGCATGTGAATTTCTGGTCCAAAGATGAAGAACTACAGAAATCCCCTGTTCAGTTTTTACCACCCAGATGTTGCAATAAGCACTTGCATCAACACAACATTTTTTTTAAATTAAGGACTGTATGAGACTGTGTCGAGATGATGAGCGTTTTTAGTCAAATCTAGAAGACAGATAGGTCCATGTCTTACTTCCAACACATCATAGTTGCAGTCTTGGTGAAACTCCACGTCAAACTCATAGATAGTGAAGGTAATGCTGCTTCCAGCTGAGGTAGTGATATACCAGATACACTCCCGGTTTTCTGGATACCTGTTGGGGTAACCTGGACTGTTGATGGAGCCACTGAGACCAGAGAGCTCCCCACCACAACCTGTAGGGACACACCAAGTCTGTTTTAAATGGTTCTCTTCAAGTGTGCAAGAACGTCACCTAAACCTGACAATACATTTAAAGCAGTGATGATCCAGGCTCCAGCATGGCTCCTATCCGGCCCTCTTCCCTCTTTTCCTGGAGCGACAGCAACCGCTGTTGATGGGTTGGACCCGTCCAGTCGATTTGGCTGGGTGGATCTTCCTCAAGGTCCACTGCTCTTTTATCCAAACCCCTTGACTGTAGGCCATTTCTGTCTTAGGTAATATGTCTTTCAGCAATAAAGCCAAAAATAGATTGAATAAAAACAGTGAGGTTTCAAGGAGTAAGCCTCCTGATTGCAGCATCTGAATGCGCAGATGTTTTTTATAGATCAATATCTTTTTTTTTGAAGGAGCTACCGGCCACTGCGTCTGCCTTCGCAGCCGTTGCTACTATCTTAGTATTATAAGACTATCGTTGATAATTGATTTTGATAGCCAAAATTTGGTGCCTTTTTTTAAACCATTGTTATCCCCCATAAATGGTGCCACTGTGTTGCCCATATTACCAACAACGCCATCTGAAGGCAGCAGATATCTCTACTGATGATATCACTGCCACAATAAAGCAGGTCAGATCACTGGTTACATTTTGTGCAACCAGCCCCAGAATGTGACAAATAACCACAGAAACCACTGTACTCTCCTGCACATCAAACTTCAGTTATAATAAATTATTAAAGGGGACCTATTCTGCTAATTTCGAGCTCCATATTCTTGGTCTATGGGTCGTAATAAGCTGCTTGCACAGTCCACCTATACGGCTGTTTTTCTGGTGAGGATAGACTGACTACACGGACATGGCTACAGAATTACCAGAAATCAGCTAGCACACCCCATGCTGGGTATGGATGCTCTTAACTGCGATTTGTGCCCTTGTACCAAAATTATGAGAACTGGAGTCACATCACAATTTTGATGACAGCCTATCATACAGTTTGTATTGTACTGTTTGTAATATACTTTACAGTAAAGTACAGATATCTTTATGTAGTTGATCTTGCCTGGTCCACGACAAGAGAAGACAACTCCTTCTTACCATTCTGGTACCACATCATCTGGAAGCCAGACATGGACACAGAGGAGTCTGTTCTGAACACCAAGGTGAGGGCTGAACTTGTAGTGCTGTTGGCTGGGGGGGGCGTGTATCCACAGAATGTACCAATCAGAGGAGCTTGCTCATTAGGCCCATCATAGAGCTGGAATCGTATTTGGAGAAAGTGGTATGAGTGGGGAGTACAATATATAGTCACAACAATACATCTGTACATTATGGGTTGACAAAAATAACAGGGATACCCAACAATTTTATTCTACAATACCATGAACTTAGATCATTTGGACTTTTACGTTTATTAAGATTTTTAAATTCACTAATGAAAGATTTATTTAACTGAATGGATTTTGCAGGTGTTTCTGTTCACAGTGGCCTACGATAACTAAACAAAGCCTCACCAATCTTTGTTCTAATTCTTGGAACAGCAAATAAGCTAGTTTCAGATGATCAAATTGTACAAGCAGGTTTGCAATATATTTTGCTAGTAATCCATTTATTGAATTATATTTAAACAGTAGAATTTGGAAATATATTCTGCAACACCCTGGATGTTGGTTCGATCCCCGGCTCCTCCCGCCATGTGTCGAAGTATCCTTGAGCAAGATACTGAACCCAGAATTGCTCCCGATGCCGTGCATCGGTGTGTGAATGTGTATTAATGAGGTAGCTTCTGTTTGATGGGATTTGCCATCATTGAGTGAATTGTGGGTGGAAGGGCAAATGTGGCATGTAGTGTAAAAGCGCTCTGAGTGATCGGAAGACTAGTAAGGCACTATACAATTACAGGTCCATTTACCATGGTCATTTCAACTCCTACAATGATCCACAAATAAACGGATAAAGAAACATCCATCTGTTAATAAATTTTTTGTGCCCACTCCACCACTCAGAACAGCAAAAAAGAAACTGATTGTGTTGCACAGGTTCTCCAACAGTATCATCTGTCGTTACACATGACCATTACACACAGCTGTCATCATCAAAGTTAAATTGAGTTAATTTTGAAACAGACTTAAAGGGTTTCACAATTCAAGAAAATTAAATGAAATGAAAAGTTCATTCACAGGGAATGAAAATAAAAAGAAGAAGAAGAAAATTCATCTCTGGTAAATTATTCAAATTAGGTTTATAAATGACCCTCAGAGTAGAATTTACAAAAAGCTGTGTAGACTCTAACATAATAAATATTCACTAAAATTAGCAAACAACCTAAACAATATGTTTTACTATGACTAGATCTCTCAAATGATATATTTCCTATCCTGTTCCTATACCTATCATTTTCACCCACAGGTGAAAATACCCACAGGTGAAAATGATAGCTATAGTGAGATGCGCACATTTTTCTTTTATGAATACCAGTTTATGTGTGGGAAAAGCTGTACTCATCAAACATCTGTTAAACCTTGTTATTGTCAATCTTCAAAGGACATCTAATGAACTATTATAAGAGTAGTATAACTCCTCCTAAGGAATAGGGCAGGGCGTAATGTGAGATGCTATCATCAGCTCACTTCTGCCACCAAAGCCAACATCAGCCACTGTCAGTTTATTCCTGAAGCTAACCTATGCTCAACTGTGGGGTGTCTGTTGTGGGTGGGTTGAGTTTGGCCAGATTCTTTCTTCAGTTGATATGGTTGAATAGTGTGAATCTGTGTACCTTGATGTAGTCATAGTTACAACTGCTGGAGGTGGCCTCGAGCTGGAAGGCAGTAAAGGTGTAGTTTACACTGTTTCCACTGGTGGCCTGGATGGTCCAGCTGCACTGGGAGTTGGCTGGGTAGTTGTTGGGAAAGTTTAGTGACTCCACCACTCCTTTATGACTGCCTGAGATGATGCGACTGCATTCTGAAAACAGACAGCCAAGCACTAAACAAACACATTTACATGTTCTTGGGTCAATTTTTTTAAGTATCCAGTGTGTGTTTTCGTACTGGAGGCGTATGATGCAAGGAAGCCTCCAGTGCTGACACTGCTGTCAGTGCGTAGTTTGATGTAGAGCTGATTGCTGGAAGAGCTGATGGTCCTGGGCGGTTCACTTCCACACAAGTTGGCCAACTGAGGAGCACTGCTACTGTTACCATCATACACCTAAACACACACAGGAAAAAAAGATACGTTAAATAACACTAATTATTGGTCTATTGCATTAGCAAATAATAAAGATAAACAACCCCCCCCCCCTTTTGTTTGGATTTCGTAAATTTATGACTGTGTGTATATGTATATGTATATGTATATGTATATTTGTGCATGAAACCAGCTGATATGTCCCAATTTTTCTTAGTAATAATTATTTATTGTTAACTGAGATTGTGACTTGTTGGTTATAAGTGAATAAAGTTTGGTACTTGATACAAAGACTAACACAAACTGATCACTCAAACACCCCTTGAGAAAATATATAAATCCAAATACTTCAGCAATTGCAAGTATTGAGAGTCTTTATTTATCTAAAAGTTACAAACACCTACTTGCTTCAGCTTCTCTTTTGGGCTGTGTTGATTTTACTTAAAGCTATAGGTCTACATAACTTCTCACCAGAGGGTGTTCTCACTTGCAACTGTCCTCTCTCCATGAGTGCTTAGCTGCCATCAAAGACTGGATGTCTCTTAATTTTCTCCACTTAAATCCTGACAAAACTGAGAGGCCCCGAAAATTTG